GAAAGTCCAGCCCTGACGGGGGCCCCCTCCAACGTGTCCCCAGCTTCCCTTTCCAGCGCTGCAACAGGCTATTTCTGTTTATTCTGCAAACGCACTCCCAGACACCCCTCCCCTCCCTCTGAATTGATCAACTCTTCTCTCCTTCTTGGCACCATTCCCGAATTCCAGCCTCACCTCAGCCCCGGCAGCCTCCGCCTTGCAGAGAGGCCCCTTCCTTTTATTTTATTTTATTTATTTTTTTTTTGAGATGTGATTCAGCCTGCAGTTCAGTGGGGCGACCTCGGCTCACCGCAACCTCCGCCTCCCGGGTTCAAGCGATTCTTCTGCCTCAGCCTCCTGAGTAGCTGGGACTACAGGTGCCCGCCACCACACCTGGCTCATTTTTGTGTTTTTAGTAGAGATTGGGTTTCACCATGTAGGCCAGGCTGGTCTCGAACTCCTGACTTGAAGTGATCCACCCGCCTCGGCCTCCCAAAGTGCTGGGATTACAGCTCTGAGGCTCCACGCCCAGCCTTTTCCATATTTCCTTCCTCCCTTCCTTCCTTCCTTCCTTCCTTCCTTCCTTCCTTCCCTCCTTCCCTTCCTTCCTCCCTTCCTTCCTTCCTTCCTTCCCTCCCTCCCTCCCTCCCTCCCTCCTTCCTTCCTTCCTTCCTTCCTTCCCTCCTTCCCTTCCTTCCTTCCTTCCTTCCTTCTTCCTTCCTTCCTTCCTTCCCTCCCTCCTTCCTTCCTTCCTTCCTTCCCTCCTTCCCTTCCTTCCTTCCTTCCTTCCTTCCTTCCTTCCTTCCTTCCTTCCTTCCTCCCTGCCTTCCTTCCTTCCTTTCTTCTTTCTTTCTTCTTCCTTTCTGTTTTCCTTCTTTCCTGCCTTCCTTCCTTCTTCTTTCCTTCCTTCTTCCTTCCTTCCTTCCTTCCTTCTTCCTTCCTTCCTTTCCTTCCTTCCTCCTTCCTTCCTCCCTTCCTTCCTTCTTCCTTCCTTCCTTCCTCCCTTCCTTCCTACCTTCCTTCTTTCCTTTCTTCCTTCCTTCCCTCCTTCCTTCCTTCCTTCTTTCTTTCTTTCTTCTTCCTTTCTGTTTTCCTTCCTTCCTTCCTTCCCTTCTTCCTTCCTTCCTTCCTTCCTTCCTTCCCTTCCTTCTTCCTTCCTTCCTCCCTTCCTTCCTTCCTTCCTTCTTCCTTCCTTCCTTCCTTCCTTCCTTCTTCCTTCCTTCTTCCTTCCTTCCTTCCTTCCTTCTTCCTTCCTTCTTCCTTCCTTCCTTCCTTCCTTCCTTCCTCCCTCCCTCCCTCCCTTCTTCCTTCCTTCCTTCCTCCCTTCCTTCCTTCCTTCCTTCCTTCTTCCTTCCCTCCTTCCTTCCTTCCTTCTTCCTTCCTTCCTTCCTTATTTCTTTCTTTCTTCTTCCTTTCTGTTTTCCTTCTTTCCTTCCTTCCCTCCTTCCTTCCTTCCTTCCTTCCTTCTTCCTTCCTTCTTCCTTCCTTCCTCCCTTCCTTCCTTCTTCCTTCCTTCCTTCTTTCCTTCCTTCTTTCCTTCTTCTTCCTTTCTGTTTTCCTTCTTTCCTGCCTTCCTTCTATTGCCTGTCCCTCTCTTTCCCTTCCCTTTTCCCTCCTTCCTCCTTCCTTCCTCCGTCTCACGGTTAGCACTCACCTCAGCCCCCATCGCAACCCTCCTTGGAGACACACAAGATAGAATCCAATGAAAGCACCACCGCAGGTGTGGCAGGTGCAAGCTGCACCTTGGGCGCGGAGGTGACAGGCATGAGCCACCACACCCGGCCACCAACTTCCCCTTCTAGACGCAACGCTTTGGGGAGGGCAGGGACACGCGTTCCATCTCACAAACATGTCAGGTGTGCCAGGACTGAGCCCAGGAGCCCTGACAATCTCAGGACGGTATTCTAATTTTAAAATTATTATTACTATTATTTTGCAGAGGTGGGGTCTCGCCGTGTTGCCCAGGCGGGCCTCGAACACCTGACCTCAGGCGACCCGCCTGCCTCAGCCTCCCAGAGTGCCGGGATGACACGCGTGACCCACGGTGTCTGGGACACGCAGGGTGTTCTGGATGCAGAAAAGTTCAAGTGCAGATGCCCCGGGCCCCGGCGCCCACATTGGGCTTTGTGGGTGAGTAACGGGCTGTGTCTGGGGTGGGGATGATGAGGAGTCCGATGGAGCTGGGCCTCCATCCTGCAGACGTTCATGGTGTCTACAAGCGGGGGGATGGTGGCCGGGCGCGGTGGCTCAGGCCTGTCATCCCAGCACTTTGAGAGGCTGAGATGCGCAGATCACCCCGAGGTCAGGAGTTCGAGACCAGCCTGGCCGACACGGTGAAACCCCCGTCTCTACTAAAAACACCAAAATTAGCCCGACGTGGCAGGGGGCGCCTGTCATCCCAGCGACTCCGGGGGCTAGGTCGGGAGAACGGCTTGAACCCGGGAGGCAGAGGTTGCGGTGAGTGACGGGCGCAGGGAAGAAACGGAGTGGAACGTCCCATCAGGCGGCCTGAACTGTTTCTTTTCCGTTGCTCTCGATGTTGAAACTCCCAGCCCACCAGGGGCTGTTTTGTGGCCACACTTTCCCAGGTGGCAAAGAGAGAGAACCCGGCCTTGGGGGCCCCTCCCAGGGTCCCCTCTATGCCAACTTTAACTTCCTGCAGCTGCTGAGGCCCCTGGGAGCCGGTGAGGGGGTGCAGGGGAGGCTTTACCCCATCAAGAGGGGCTGTGAGGACCTGCCCCATGTCAGGGTCCTCTGTATTAAACCAGGGCTTGGAGCTTCAGAGGGTTCAGGGGACAATGGTGGCCTCAGGGAGGGGTGGGAGCGGCGGATGGGGGAGGTGGGGGGACTCTGCAATGTTTCAATGTGACAGTTTCCCTCCAGAGAAAAAGCAGGAAGTGAGACCCAGCGCCCAAAGTCCCCATGGGGCCAAGCAGCTTTCAGAGCGTCCCCTGTGTCCTGGACGGTCGGCTCGGTCCACGCCATCCCGGGAGCTGCCCAGCGCGCCCCACCCCCCACCCCCGGCCTCATTCAGTGAATCCCAGAGTCAAGGGCTCCCCCAGACCCCACTCTACTGATTTTCAGCAATCAGGAGACAGCAGCCACTTCTGAGGCCCCGGGTGGGTGCCCTCTCTTCTCTCATGGGAAAGCGCGTCATTAGGGTGCAGGGCTCCTGAGTAGCTGGGACGACAGGCGCCCACCACCACGCCCGGCTCATTTTTGTGTTTTCAGTAGAGACGGGGTTTCACCGTGTTGGCCAGGCTGGTCTCGAACTCCCAACCCCAGGTGATTCGCCTTCCTCAGCCTCGTAAAATGCTGGGATGACAGGCACGAGCCACCGCGCCTGGCCTACTTTTTGTGTTTTTAGTGGAGACTCGGTTTCACCGTGCGGGTCAGGCTGGTCTCAAACTCCTGACCTTAAAGTGATCCACCTGCATGACCCAACGGCCCTGGATTCTTACACTGTGGCCTCACATGTTCCCTCCTGAGATCCCCTGTCGAGCGTCACGGCTGTGGGATGAACCCCCTTCCCTGTCACCCACTGCAAGACCAAGGGTCAGGCTCCCCTATGTCCACCCTTCTCCTGAGTCCCCAAAATCTCTTGTACCTGAGGGGGAGAGGAACAGAGGGAGGAGCTGAGCTTCATGCTCTCCCAGGTCCAAGGAGTCCAGACCACAACCTCAAAGCACCCCACTGCCCCTGGGGAAAATTCTGCACAGCTGTCAGCCTGGCCGAGCTCTGGGGTTGTCCTTGGGTCCCCCGCAGGGTGCCTGGTCTCTGCTCACTTCTGGGGTCTCTCCCACCTTGGCAGATGGCTGAAAATCACCCCGTATTCAAGCCATTATTAAGAAGAATCGGGAGCTTCACTGGCTCAGGCCTGCTGTCCGGGTGCATAAGGTTAGGTTGGGAGTTCGAGGCCAGCCTGGGCAACATAGAAACCTCCCATTCAGCCAGGCACGGTGGCTCACACTTGTCATCCCGGTACTTTGGGAGGCAGAGGTCAGCAGATCAAGACCACCCTCGCCAACATGGTGAACCCTGTCTCTACTAAAATTAAAAAAAAAAATTAGCCAGCCA